GGAGGCAGCCTGGGGGGAAGGATACAGAGCCAGCATCACTGACGACCTGCAGCACCACAGTAATGGAGGTACGGGGGTGCAGCGCTCCCAATACCACTGCTTCACAAGTGTTCCTGATCAGCCGCTCCCGACTCTTCTCAGCGACGCCTGGGGAAATCAGGGGTGGGGTGGGGTGGTCAGGCTCTTCCCTTCCATCTGGCTCACCTTCCTCCACATGCCCCACCCAAGCCCTCTGGGAAGGGCCTGCCGGCTCCGCTAGGGTTGGTGCAGGACCCTGCAAGGATGACAGAGGATCCCCAGTGGGAAGGAGGCGGAGCCTGACCCATACCCACTTCATCCCTGCCCTCTCTGGCATCCAGCAACAGAGCTTCTTGGGGGATGAAAATCCCGGAGTTCCCTCCCATTGAACCCAGACCCAGGGGTGGGGGTGGGGGTAGTGAATGGGGGGAAAACAGCTTAGTAGAAAGAAGGGGAGATGGAGCCAGGAAAGACAGACTAAAGTGGAGGCAGAGGGGACCCTGGGGACAGTGGTGAGGAAGAAGGTGGAGATCCCCCTGGGTCCAGTTACCAGGCAGCCCGATCTTCGGCCTCAGAATCACCTCCAGGGTGGCCTTGTTGAAGATCTCTTTGCTGACCTTCACCTCGGCTGGTCCGTATACGCCCGCCAGGACCGATGTATCCCCTGGGGAGACAGCACGGGTGGCCTCGCCCACATCCCGCCTTCCTCTGGGGTCCCAGTGCGCCGTGCTGAGCCGGCTGGCCAGGGTCCCCCACGCCACCCCCCAGTCCAGCCCACGAAGTGCTGGCACTGATTCTTCCAGCGTTTGCTTCACTCACTCCTCTGCCTGTGCTTCCTCACCTGTGAACCGACAGGTTAACGGCGCCTCCCTCCCTGAGTTCTGAGGATTAAATGACATAATCCACGTAGAACACTCCCGACACTGCCTGGCGCACACGACACTGCCTGGCACACACGGAGCACGGAGCGCGCAGCGCAACGGACGTTCGCTGTTAACTTTAATAGGAGGTTCCTCCCGAGAGCTGACCTTCCTCCTTCTTACTGCAGCTGGTCTTCTCACTCCTTCCAGAGCTTCCCCCAACCTGGCTCTCTTCCCTCAGGCTCGCGTCCCAAACTCTGCAGAAGTCAAGACCCCCGAGAGAGGGACAGATATACCTGGGAGTGATCCCGAGGGGGTAAGAACAGGGGCCAGGGAGGTTAAGACCCAGGAAACAAAAGCCTGGCATCTAGTCCTGCAACCTTGGCTGACTGTGCTCACTTCTCTGGGTCTCAGTTTTACCATCTGCAAAATGAAGAGACCAGACTACACCAGTGGCTTCCAAACTCTTCTCACCATAGCTCCTGACAAAAAATATATTTTACAGCGTGACCCCAATCTCACGCAAACATATGTGTAACCGGAACAAAGGCCTCACAAAACAACTCTTACTGTCACTGCTTTGCTACACTCTGATGTTTTCCACTCTATTCCAGTTAATTTTATTTATACTTATAAGATTTTATTTCTTAAAAATGTTTATTAATTTTGAGGGCAGAGAGAGAGAGAGAGAGAGAGAGAGAG